TACCTGAGGTCAGGAGTTCAAGACCAGCCTGGCCAACATGGTGAAAACCCATCTCTACTAAAAATATAAAAATTAGCTGGGTGTGGTGGTGCATGCTTGTAATCCCAGCTACTTGGGAGGCTAAGGCACAAGAATCCCTTGAACCTGGGAGGCAGAGGTTGCAGTGAGCTGAGCTCACTCCACTCTACTCCAGAGTGAGACTATCTCAAAAAAACAAACAGTCCGGGTGCGGTGGCTCACACCTGTAGTTCCAGCACTTTGGGAGGCCAAGGTGGGAGGATCACCTGAGGTCAGTAGTCCAAGACCAGCCTGGACAACATGGCCAAACCCTGTCTCTACTAAAAATACAAAAATTAGTCAGGCATGGTGGCACACACCTGTAGTCCCAGCAACCTGGGGAGGCTGAGGCAGAAGAATCCCTTGAACCCAGGAGGCAGAGGTTGCAGTGAGCCAAGATTGCACCACTGCACTCCAGCCTGAGCAAGAGAGAGAGACTCCATCTCCAAAAAGCAAACAAGCCAGTGCAGTGGCTCACGCCTGTAATCCCAGAACTTTGGGAGGCTGAGGCAAGGTAGATCATCTGAGGTCAGAAATTTGAGACCAGCCTGACCAACATGGAGAAATCCCATCTCTACTAAATACACAAAATTAGCCAGGCATGGTGGCACATGCCTATAATCCCAACTACTGAGGAGTCTGAGGCAGGAGAATCTCTTAAACCCTGGAGGCAGAGGTTGTGGTGAGCTGAGATCACGCCATTGCACTCCAGCCTGGACAACAAGAGCGAAACTCCACCTCAAAAAGAAAGGAAAAAGAAAAAGAAAAACCTTCCAAACAGACTTCTAGATGAGGAGAATGAGGAGGACAGAGACAGGAACCCCCATGCATTATAATACAGGAGGAGGTTGTGGAGGGAGAGTAAATGAAAAACATGCTCAAGATTAGAAGAAGCTGGTCTGACGTTATTAACATTAGTGTCATGTCAAAGAAAAGAGTCGAATTCTGTAAAATATTTGAAGAGATTTATTCTGAGCCAAATATGAGTGACCAGTGGCCTGTGACACAACTCTCAGGAGATCCTGAGAACAAGTGCCCAAGGAGGACGGGCTACAGTTTGGCTTTATACAGTCTTTTTTTTGAGACAGAGTCTCACTCTGTCACCCAGGATGGAGTACAGTGGCACGATCTTGGCTCACTGGAACCTCCACCTTCCAGGTTCAAGCAATTCTCCTGCCTCAGCCTCCCAAGTAGCTGGAATTACAGGCGCCTACCACAATGCCCAACGAATTTTTTGTATTTTGAGTATAGATGGGGTTTCACCATGTTAGCCAGGTTGGTCTCTAACTCATTACTTCAGGTGATCCACTCACCTCAGCCTCCCAAGGTGCTGGGATTGCAGGCATGAGCCACCACACCCAACCAGCTTTATACATTTTAAGAAAATATAAGACATCAATCAATATATGTAAGATGTACATTGGTTCAGTCTAGAAAGGCAGGACAACTGGAAGTGAGGAAGTGGGCAAAGGAATTAGGGTTAGGGTTCCAGCTCATAGGTAGATTCAAAGATTTTTTAATTGACAGTTGCTTGAAAGAGTTATTATCTAAAGACTTGGAATCAATAGAAAGGAATGTCTGGGTTACAATAAGGGGTTGTAGAGACTCTGAGTTACTGGAGCTGTAAGCACTTGGGAGGTCAAGACTGGCTCCTCTCTTTGCTCTGTAAGACGTCCGGACGGTCACGGAAGTGCTGTGCAGCCAACCAAGGTGACAAGCATGAGCCAGCCTCGGCCTGAAGTTACCTGCTCCCCAGAAGAAAGGCTTTTCACTTTCGGATATTGTGGCTATTTCTTTTTTTGTTTTGTTTTGTTTTGTTTGTTTGTTTCCTTGAGACAGAGCCTTGCTCTGTTCCCAGGCTGGAGTGCAGTGGTGTGATCTGGGCTCACTGCAACCTCCGCCTCCTGGGTTCAAGTGATTCTTCTGCCTCAGCCTCCTCAGTAGCTGGGATTACAGGTGCCCGCCACCACACTGGGCTAATTTTTGTATTTTTTAGTAGAGATGAGTTTTCACCATGTTGGCCAGGCTGGTCTTGAACTCCTGACATCATGATCCACCTGCCTCGGCCTCCCAAAGTGCTGGGATTACAGATGTGAGCCACTGTGCCTGGCCTCTTGTGGCTATTTTTACAGATCTGCTCCTGACAATAGGCAATGGACCAAAAATACTGAGAGTGACAGAGTTGAAGAGAAGTACCTAAACAAAGATGGCCTGGCACAATGGCTCACACCTGTATCCCAGAACCTTGGGAGGCCGAGGCAGGAGGATCACTTGAGCCCAGGAGTTTGAGACCATGCTGGCCAACATGGTGAAACCCTGTCTCTACAAAAAATACAAAAATTAGCTGGATGTGGTGGCACGCGCCTGTAGTCCCAGCTACTCAGGAGGCTAAAGTGGGAAGATCACCTGAGCCTGGGGAGGCTGAGGCTGTAGTGAGCCCTGATCACTGCACTCCAGCCTGGGTGACAGAGAGAGACTCTGTCTACAAAACAAACAAACAAACAAACAAAAAACCCTAAAGAAAGAGTCTGCAGAAAAGTCTAAAGAAAGAGTCTGGATTCTCCTAATCGAAAAGGAGAAAAGCCCTGAAGTTTCTTTTTCTTTTATTTATTTATTTATTTTTGAGACAGAGTTTTGCTCTTGTTGCCCAGGCTGGAGTGCAATGGCGCGCTTGGCTCACCACAACCTCCGCCTCCCACATTTAAGCAATTCTCTTGCCTCAGCCTCCTGAGCAGCTGAAATTACAGGCATGCGCCACCATGCCCGGCTATTTTTGTATTTTTAGTAGAGACAGGGTTTCTCCATGTTGGTCAGGCTGGTCTTGAACTCCCAACCTCAGGTGATCCACCAGCCTCAGGTCCCAAAGTGCTGGGATTACAGGCGTGAGCCACTGTGCCTGGCTTCTGCTATTTTCATTCTAACCAGTATGGTGCCCAGAGATCCAACTGGCAGACCGATGGCAAGGCTCCAGAATAGCAAGACCTGGAGGGAGAGGGAGGGCTGCCTCCTGACAAGGGAGGGCCACCGGTCATACTCTCTCCTCCACGTTAATTCTTCCAGCCACTGCTGGCTCCAGCAGGACACTAAGAAGTATCCCTGAAGGGAGTCACCTCCAATATTGCCCAGTAAATAATTTAGAAGCAAAAATGTAGGAAACTCAGGGGAAGGTCAAGCAAGTCCACTAGAGGGAGCCCCAACCAACTCTATGCAGCAGGGAGCCTCACAAAGCAGTGTCTCAACACGTCTGCAAATCAACCACACAAAGGAATGGAGAAGTGTGGCAATAGATTAAGTCACTAGGAGAGAAGATAGCACGGAAACACCCAGCTAAACCCCAGGCTTTTCAAGAGCTACAAAATCAAACATTTAAAGATCAGAAAACTGAGGCTGAGCAAAGACAAATGGCTTGCCTCCATTTACATATGCACAGTTGGGACTCAGACTCACATCTTGTCTCTAACCTGAGCACTTTCCTCCACACTTGCATGCCTCTAGGTCAGTCCCTAGAGTCCATGGGTGCACCATTCCTCTGCATCTCATTTCTCTGAAGTGGGAAACTCCCTCGGCTACCTCTTCCTGCACTTATTTCGCTTGCTCATTCTACAGCGGACTGAAGAGCATCTTCAGTGGTTTGGGGGTTTTGTTTGTTTGAGACAGGGTCTCCCTCTGTCATCCAGGCTGGAGTTCAGAGATGTAATCATGGCTTACTGCTGCCTCAGTCTCCCAGGCTCAAACAATTCTCCTGCCTCAGCCTCCCAAGTAGCTGAGATTACAGGTGTGCACCACCACGCCAGGCTAAGTTGGTTTTGTTTTGTTTAAGACGGAGTTTCACTCTTGTTGCCCAGGCTGAAGTGCAATGGCACGATCTCAGCTCACTGAAACCTCTGTCCCCTGGGTTCAAGCGATTCTCCTGCCTAAGCCTCCTGAGTAGCTGGGATTACAGGCATGTACCACCACGCCCAGCTAATCTTGTATTTTTAGTAGAGACGGGGTTTCTCTATGTTGGTCAGGCTGGTCTTGAACTCCCAACCTCAGGTTACCCTCCTGCCTCGGCCTCCCAAAGTGCAGGATTACAGGCCTGACACACCGCACCCGACCTAAGTTTTTAATTTTTTGTAGAAATGAGGTCTGACTGTGTTGCCCAGGCTGGTCTCGAACTCCTGGCCTCAAGCAATCCTGCCTCAGCTTCTCAAAATGCTGGGATTACAGGCATGAGCCACCATCCCCAGCTTAGATCTTCAGTTTTAAGCCTACTAATGTCATTTTGCTGATGGGACCTGGGGATGTAAATTGTCCAATGTGGCTACTGTCAGTCTTTTTCCTCTGTATCAGCACAACATATTATCTCACTGTGTACACTTGAATTTGTAAGTCTCCAATTGCAGGCCATGTCTACATGACAATGAATCATAATGAATTGGCTTCCAAAGCCCATTCTCTTCAAACTACACTTAGCATTTTGGGTTAAGGAAAGAACTGACCCTTTGAGACCTTGACATTTTAAGTCTTGTGAGCTGATTTAGCCCATTCCACTTTCCTAAGAACTCCATGTTTCCCAGTTGCCTGGACATCATACAACCTCCTGAAACCCAACCTTCCAGTCCTCAGTCCTACCCTCAAGAGAGATTTGCCTCCAAGGATTGGTTCCCAGGAGGGAGGGGAGCAGGTACAGGGATTTAGTTTCTCCAAAAGACAGTTGAGAGGAATGACTTCTGAACAGAGAGTCAGCCTGGTTAAGAGAAAAAACTCCATCCTCCCCACTGACCCCAACCCTGCCTGAAGTTTCAAAGAGACCGTGAACTGACTTTTCTAGAGAGGATGAGAGACAAATTTGGAGTAGAACCAGATGACTCTCCTGAGACTCCTGGTTAAGTGTAGGGGTCAGGAGAGCATCCCTGTGTCTGGACCTAAACATAAGGTCTCCTCCTTCTCCCAGCAAGGAGATGCCACCTAAAAACAAAGAAAAAGGGAGGAAAGCTGGGGTGCAGAAGAAGAAAGAGAACAGGAGCGAGTCATGGTGGGTGGAGGTACCCCCTGCTTCTGCCTGTTCTGGCACGAAGACCACCCAGAGGTCCTGCAGAAAGAATTCAGCCTTCTGCATGATAGGACGGAGCTCTCTTGACCTTCCTCTTCGTGTCCTCGAAGCCAGATTCAAGGAGCTGAGGAAGTGGGGCAATGGTCACCCACACTGTCCTTTGAGCCCCATCTAACTCTGTGCCTTCCTGATATACTTGCATATCTGTTATGTGCTGGTCAGTGAGGACATGGTGCTGACTTCAGTAGACTTCTGCCACCATGGATCGCTCATTTAGTGGTCCTCAGGTCTCCTGTGGGAAAAGTGCTGGGTGTGGGGTGAGGACGCAAGGAGAGTGAGGAGTGCTGAGATCATGAAGAGCTGAGGCTCTGCCACTTGCCATGGCAGGTGCAGATGTGGAGACCGAGTCCAGGCACAGGCTGGTGGTGCTAAAGAAGGAGCTGCTCCGAGACCACTTGAGTAAGGAGGGTAGAAGCTAGCATGGGAGTGGGCAACTGGGGCAGTGCAATGTGCCATTTCTGTATCCCGGGGGATTAGAGGCATGATGGGGCGCTAAGCCAAACCTAACCATCTCATGGGATGAAGGAAGCTTTTTTTTTTGGAGATAGGATCTTGCTATATTGCCCAGGCTGGAGTGCAGCGGTGTGATCATGGTTCACTCTAACTTCAGACTCCTGGGCCCCAACAATCTTCCCTCCTCAGCCTCCTGGGTAGCTGGTATTACAGGTGCACATCACCATGCCCAATTACTTTACTTCTTTTTTCTTTTTCTTTTTCTTTTTTCCTGAGACAGAGTCTTGCTCTGTCGCCCAGGCTGGAGGGCAGTAGCACAATCTCGGTTCATTGCAAACTCCGCCTCCTGGGCTCAAGCAATTCTCCTACCTCAGCCTCCAGAGCCGCTGGGATTACAGGCATGAGCCACCACACCTGGCTAATTTTTGTAGTTTTAGTAGAGACAGGGTTTCACCATGTTGGCCAGGGTGGTCTCAAACTCTTGACCACGTGATCTCCTGCCTAGACCTCCCAAAGTGCTGGGATTACAGGCGTGAGCCACCAGGCCTGGACATATTTATTTTTCTTATAGAGACAAGGTCTCACTCGGTTGTCCAGGCAGGTCTCAAACTCCTGGCCTCAAGCAATTCTCCCACCTAAGCCTCCCAAAATATTGGGATTAATGGCATGAGCCACCATGTCGGGCTATCTGGAAAGCTATTTTTTAGAGCCAGAACATGGAGGGAGTTTTTGCTTCTTAATAATGAAGAGCCTGTGAGAGTCTAGGGATAAAAAACAAAAACAACAAAACCCAGAGAGAGAATAAGAAGCTGGACGCCCCACCCCCAGATTTCCAGAGGTGGGCAAAGTCCATCCTGGGAAATTGGAGGCCATGGGGGCTGACTTAGCGGGCCCCAGACACGCCTGACGGCAGCTCTGGGACTCCTCACAGATCTATGGAGGGATGAAGCCCGTCGAGCCAAGGCTTCAGAAGACCAGCTGAGGCAGAGGCTGCAAGGGGTGGAGGCTGAGCTGGAAGGGACCCGAAGTGAAGGTATGCAGGTATGTGGTGGGTTGAGCAGGTGGGCATGAGACGGGGGCTTGGAGGAGGACGACCAACAGGGCCAGATGAGGCAAGGAAGGGAAACAAGGAGGGCTTCCGACTGCCAGGCCTGGTCTTGGTCTTCCCTGAACAGGACAAATCAGGCAGGATCCTGTAGGAACCAACGGCAGGTGTCTGGGATCCCAGGCAGGGGCCTTCCAGCAGGCCTGGTGCCATGCGCTTGATGCTGGGTAGGATACACATGCAGTCACAGCCATCAGCTCACTCATCCCATGGGAGGGGAGAAGGGTTAGCATCCCCAGATGAAGCTGGACTTGGGGAGGTGCGTCTGGCTTCCTGTCCTTTCCCCAGGTTTTCATGGTCTCCAGCTTCTCAGAATCACAAAAAGAACCAAGAAGGCCTTGGTGTTCTCGTTCCACTAGACCAAGTAGAGTCTTGCCCACCCACAACTTCATTTCCTTTCTCTATCCCTCCATCTCCAACCTGGGTCCCTGGGGGCCCACTGCCCCCACCCTAGAGATGAGTCGCCAGTGCAGGGCCCTGCAGAAGGAGATGGGGAGCCACGGCAAGCAGCTGGAGGAAGAAGACAGGGGCCTTCAGAGGCAGCTGGGTAGGTTTCCCCACCCTCCAAGCCCCTTCTCTGCAAGGGTTGCAACAAGGGCCAGCATGAAGTGGTAGACTTCAAAGTCTCTGCTCTAGAAAGCTGCCATCTGGGCTCTGGGGTCACTTTCCCCACTTTCACTGACCCTCCACCACCGAGGACTGGAGCAGAGGGTTCACGATGCCAAGAATCTCTGCTGTAAGTAAAGAAGAGGTAGGCCTTGCCCCCCATTTCCCCCTCCACTTGGTCTCTCCAAATCCAGCCCTAACTCCCCACCACTGCCATGTCTCTTCTGAGCAAAACATACTCCCTCTTGGTTTAGATGATTTCTACAGTGAAACTAAGGGAAAATGTTTGACTTATTTACTTCTATGTCTTCAAGAACTAGCACCTGGTAGGTCCTAAATAACTGTACACCAAATAAATGAATAAAAACTCCTAATAAGCACAAATATTTTTAAAAACCAGGAAGTCGGCCAGGCACAGTGGCTCTTGCTTGTAATCCCAGCACTTTGGGAGGCCAAGGTGGGCAGATCACAAGGTCAGGAGTTCGAGACCAGCCTGACCAACATGGTGAAACATCCACTCTACTGAAAAAAAAAAAAAAAATGAGTCGGTCATGGTGGTGCACACCTGTAATCCCAGCTACTCAGGAGGCTGAGGCAGGAGAATTGCTTGAACCTGGGAGGCAGAAGGTTGCAGTGAACCAAGATCGTGCCACTGCACTTCAGCCTGGGAGACAGAGCAAGATTCTGCCTGAAAAAAAAAAAAAAAAAAAAAAACCATGCCAGGTGCGGTGGCGCGTGCCTGTTGTCCCAGCTATTCGGGAGGCTGAGGTGGGAGGATCCCTTGAGCCCAGGAGTTCTGGGCTGTAGTGTGCTATGCCGATCGGGTGTCCGCACTAAGTTCGGCATCAATATGGTGACCTCCCGGGAGCGGGGGACCACCAGGTTGCCTAAGAAGGGGTGAACCAGCCCAGGCTGGAAACGGAGCAGGTCAAAACTCCCATACTGATCAGTAGTGGGATCACACCTGTGAATAGCCACTGCACTCCAACCTGGGCAACATAGCAAGACCCCGTCTCTAAAAATAAAAAAAAATTTTTTCTTTTTTTTTTCTTTTTTTTTTAGACAGAGTTTTGCTCTTGTTACCCAGGCTGGAGTGCAATGGCGCGATCTCGGCTCACTGCAACCTCCGCCTCCTGGGTTCAGGCAATTCTCCTGCCTCAGCCTCCTGAGTAGCTGGGATTACAGGCACGCGCCACCATGCCCAGCTAATTTTTTTTGTATTTTTAGTAGAGACGGGGTTTCACCAGGTTAACCAAAATGGTCTCGATCTTTTGACCTCGTGATCCACCCGCCTCGGCCTCCCAAAGTGCTGGGATTACAGGCTTGAGCCACCGCGCCCGGCCAAAAAAATTTTTTTAATGAAAAAAAAAAAAAAAACAGGAAGCCAGCCAGCACAGTGGCTCACAACTGTAATCCCAGCACTTTGGGAAGCCAAGGCTAGCAAATCACCTGAGGTCGGGAGTTCAAGACCAGACTGACCAACATGGAGAAACCCTGTCTCTACTAAAAATACAAAAGTAGCGGAGTCTGGTGGTGCATGCCTGCAATCCCAGCTACTCAGGAGGCTGAGGCAGGAAAATTGCTTGAACCCAGGAGCCAGAAGGTTGCAGTGAGCCGAGATCATGCCATTACATTCCAGCCTGGGCAACAAGAGCGAAACTCCATCTCAAAAAAAAGAGAAAACCAGGAAGACTTTGCCTCTCTTTTCTTGCCCCTTAAGAAAATAATGTTGAAATATCTCAGCATGACACATGAGATCTTTCACAATTTTGGTCTCAAAGTTTTCATACCTTAAAAATGCCTTCAGCTGGGTGTGGTGGCTCACCCCTATAATCCCAGCACTTTGGGAGGCCAAGGCGAGAGGATTCCTTGAGGCCAAGAGCTCAAGACCAGCCTGGCCAATATGGCAAAAACACCATCTCTACTAAAATTACAAAAATTAGCTGGGCATGGAGGCATGGAACTGTTATCCCAGCTACTCAGGAGGCTGAGTCAGGAGAATCACATGAACCCAGGAGGTGGAGGCTGCAGTGAGCCAAGATTGCACCATTGCACTCCAGCCTGGGTATCAGAGTAAGACTCTGACAAAAAAAAAAAAAAAAAAAAAAAAAAGAAGCCTTCAGTTTAGCTACAGATGGCCAGGAGCTGCTTATCTGCCATTCAGACCCTGTGTTCCTTTCCTAATCTTTGCCTTACCTCAAATTCCAAGTCAATCAATGACTCAATGTTTTGTTTTTTTTTTGAGACAGAGTTTTGCTATTGTTGTCCGTGCTGTAGTACAAGCCATCTCAGCCTCTGCCTCCTGGGTTCAAGCGACTCTTCTGTCTCAGCCTCCCGAGTAGCTGGGATTACAGGGGCATGCCATCACACCCAGATAATTTTTGCATTTTTAGTAGAGACAGGGTTTCATCATATTGGTCAGGCTGGTCTCGAACTCCTGGCCTCAGGTGATCCACCCACCTTGACCTCCCAAAGTGCTGGGATTACAGGCATGAGCCACTATGCTCGGTTTTGTTTTTTGAGATGGAGTCTCGTATCTGTCAACCAGGCTGGAGTGCAGTGGGGCAATCTCAGCTCACCGCAACCTCTGCCTCCTGGGTTCAAGTGACTCTCCTGCCTCAGCCTCCCAAATAGCCGGGATTACAGGCATGCGCCACCATGCCCAGCTAATCTTTGTGGTTTTAGTAGAGATGGGGTTTCACCATGTTGGTTAGGCTGGTTTCAAACCCTGACCTCAGGTGATCCGCCCACCTCAGCCTCCCAAAGTGCTGGGATTACAGGCATAAGCCACCATGCCCGGCCAATGAATCAGTGTTTATTGAGCACCTCCTGTATACTCACTAGGTGCTTTGTCGTCTATTATCACATTTAAAGGTCACAGCACACCCCTGAAGGATGTGTCATTCTCCCTTTAAAGATGAAAACACCAGCCAGGCACAGTGGCTCACGCCTGTAATCCCAGCACTTTGGGAGGCCAAGGTGGGCAGATAACGAGGTCAACAGACTGAGACCATCCTGGTAAACATGGTGAAACCCTGTGTCTACTAAAAATACAAAAATTAGGCCGGGCGCGGTGGCTCACGCCTATAATCCCAGCACTTTGGGAGGCCAAGGCGGGTGGATCACCAGGTCAAGAGATCGAGACCATCCTGATCAACACAGTGAAACCCCCGTCTCTACTAAAAATACAAAAATTAGCTGGGCATGGTGGTGCGTGCCTGTAGTCCCAGCTACTCGGGAGGCTGAGGCAGGAGAAATTGCTTGAACCCAGGAGGTGGAGGTTAAAGTGAGCCGAGATCGTGCCATTGCACTCCAGTCTGAGTAACAACAGCGAAACTCCGTCTCAAAAAAAAAAAAAAATACAAAAATTAGCTAGGCATCATGGTGCTCACCTGTAGACCCAGCTACTTGGGAGGCTGAAGCATGAGAATCCCTTGAACCCGGGAAGTAGAGGTCGCAGTGAGCTGAGATCATGTCACTGCACTCCAGCCTGGTGACAGAGCGAGACTCTGTCTCAAAAAAAAAAAAAAAAAATAGATGAAGACACTGAGGCTCAGAGAGAGACACACCTGAAGTCACCTAGGTAGTAACAACCGACTTTGGAGTCTTCTATCTCAAGCCCACCACTCTCTGCCATACCTCAGTGGAGCTGTAGCTTTTACAGGGACTGTGGGAAAGTTGGTGATCCTGAGGGAGTCTGGAATGAGCCCACTTGAGGTCCCCTTTGCAGATACCTTTGGAGACTGGTCAAGGGTGGAGTGTCACCATCCTACTCTCTTTCATCCTGCCCGCCCCTGGAGGCATGCCAGAGGGAGGCTGCGGCTGCCTGGGAAGAGGCTGAGCAAGCCCTAGGAGAACCGGATCAGGCCCTGGCTCAGCTTCAGGCCCATGTGGCAGACATGGAAGCCAAGTATGAGGAAATCTTACACATGAGCACCACCCCCTGCCCAGCCACCCAGTACCCAGGACTCCCCCGTGCCCACAAACCCCAGCTAGTATGATGACTGACAACCCAGGGGTAAGGAGAAGAAGCATCTCCAAGGGAACCCTGCTCTATCCTGAGGACGGAAAGAAGGGATACAACCATGTCTGCTGGACAAGGAAAGCTTACAAACCAACCTGGGGCAGCCTTATCCACTTCCCTCTGTCTTCCTGGGGGCTGAAATCTTGGTGTCTGCAGGACAGCCTGGACAGGCTCTTGGCCATGCTGAGAGCTATCAAGCCGCAGTGGGATGGGGCTGCGCTGAGACCCCAGGCTCAAGGAGCAGCTATGCCAGTTCGGACTCACCCCCTGGATCTTTGAGGCCTCCAGCCTCTAGTCTCTCAGGCTCTCTGAGGCCCCAGCAATAAAGCATCTTGATGCAGAACTCAGCAGAGCTGTGGGCGGTGGTCTTTTGGCAGAGAGGAATGGATCTTTTTTATTATTTTTTAATTTATTTTTCTTCTTTGTTTTGTTTTGTTGTTGCTTTTATTTTTAGGAATGGCTCTCATGGGGCTCTCATGGGGACACCTCAGTTCTGGGTTGATCCATTAATCCGAGACTGAGTGACAGGAAAGAAATTTGATCAAGTCGCAACCTCTCTCCTGCAAAAGCCAGGTCCCATCCCTTGAGCCTGAGGTCCTTTGGGTCCCTTCAGACCACTGCCCCTTACCCCCACCAACACAAACACAGGCAGTCAGATTTATGGGGAACGGCCATTTCTCTAACAAGTGCAACGGTGCCCAGGCACCACCCTCCGCAGTGTTAAGGTGCCCACAGAGGGCAGGCATAGCTGGTCTCCAAATTCTTGCATTACACTCAAGGGTCGTGGAGTCCTATCTAGAAAAGGTCCAGGTGGTTTCAGTCCTAGCCAGCCCCACAGCCACACCTTCATCCTTGGGACACAGCTCTCCAAAGCTCCCAGACGACATCCTCTGGAGCCTCAGACTTCGTCAGGGACCTGCCTGAGGCCTTCTGCCATACCCTCTGCTGGGAGGTGGGTCTGCAGGAAGGGAGGGAGTGCCTGGGCCAGCCTGTGATTGGTGGTGTCTGGCTTATAGAGAGCATCCTGCCTCCAACACCTTGGGCTTGAGAGTGAAGACAGGATATCCCCTGGTATGTCTGTACCAAGCAGTGATGCTCTATAGCAGGTCCGAGGCCAGAGCCCAGTCCTAGGCAGAGAGAGGAGGCGGAAGGTGGTTCCAGGTGGGACCCCAAAGAGTTACTTTTTCTTGCCTCCTCCTGCACTGGAATGCCCAGGAACGGGACTTATTTCATGCATTTTTCTGTCCCCACCTACCACGACCTGAAGCCCACCTTGCAGACCCCACACTGCTTCACCTTGCAGCTTGCCCACTCTGTCCTTTCTCACTCCTCCCTGACCTTCTGTAGCTACTCACAGTCCAATCTGTTTCTTCTTCCTCACCTCTACAGCCCCAGGGGGAATCCAGGCTTCCAAGCCCCATGGAGACCTGGCTGCCAGCTTCAGGCAGAGGGGTGGCTCAGCCTCAGGCAGCTGCTGAAGCCTCTCCAGGTCATTCTTTCCCCCAACAGGGTACCCGTTCACTTCCAGAATCACATCTCCCACTCGCAGCCCCGCCCGGGCAGCTGAGCCTCCTGGAGTCACCTGGTGGTGTGGGGGCATGCAGAACAGGGGAGACCAGGGAAAATTTGCTGGCTTAAGGCTCTGGAAGGAAAGCAGAGGAAACTGATCAGGCAGCAAAGGATGGAAAGGATTCAGGGTCCATGGGGCATGAGTCACCTGTGAGATGAAGAGACGAGGCCCACCCTCCACACAGCTGAGTCGGAAGCCATAGCCGCCACCAGGCCCAGGGTACAGAGAGCACTGGCGGGAGCCAAGAGGGACGGAAGGCACGCCTGTGTCTTCAAGTGAAGGGTCCTCTGTCTCAACCAGAGAGGCTGAGCCACTGCCCTGGGGAGAGGCGGTAACCTCTGTGTTCTCCAAGAAGAGGAGTGGGGATAGGCGAACCTGGAAGGTGGCAGGTAGAGCAAACCTGTTGGACCCGAGCCCTGCTCCTCTTCTGCCCCATCCCTAGCCCCTGCCCCCTCAGCACGCACCATGCTGAAGAAGCGGTCAGCATCAGGGTCGACGACAATGAGGGAGACACAGGAGCCCTGCGCCTGGATCCTGGACACTGTCTCCTCATGGCCCAGTCCCTCCACGCTCTCCCCAGCCACAGCCACCAGCCGGTCCCCAGCCTGCATCCCAGCCTTCTCAGCTGGCAGTCCTGGGTCTACATCCCACAGGAACTGTCCTGGGGCACAGACATCCTTACTGCTTCTCCCCAACTATCCCAGGCCACTGTGTGCACACCAGCGGACTGACCTCAGGGTGAGCAGGAAGAGGTGGCCCAGGGCCAGAGCTCAGACAGGGACACCTCTTCTGTGTACTGAGAGGTGTATATACATTTGTGTGCCCACCTCAAGGCCCACCTTCCCCCACCACCTCCAGGGTTCTCACTCACCAGGGCGACCATCAAGGCCCTTTTCCTCCCGGAGCAGGAACCCAAAACCCCGGGGCCCTTTCTGCAGGTGCAGACATCGGGGCTTGGTGGGCAGTGCCCAGCCCTCTGCCAGGGGTGCAGCCAGGGGCAATCCCAGCTGGCGACACTGTTCCTCCACCTCTGGCCCTGCCACCAGCAAGGTCACCTGCTGTCCACTCTGCCAAAGCTGTGAGGACCCAGCAGGGCATCAGTATAACACCTGGGCAGGGAGGAAGAGGCAGTCCCCCAAGCAGGCCCTCCTCCCAGACACTAAGTGAAGGGGCCTGGCACAAACTGTAGAGGGGAGGATGGTGATAAAGGTAGGAGACCAGATCAGGAGGTTAGGTGCATGGGGGAGGAGGCGTCTTCCTGAGGGGGTCCCAGGCCCAGATTGGGGGAGGGGAGTGGGAGGCAGCCACACCTTCCTGGTGAGTTGGTTGTGAGTGAACTTCTCCACACTGACCCCATTGACTTCCAGCAGCCGGGCCCCAGGGGGGACCCCTGCCCTCTCAGCTGCTCCTCCAGTGCTTAGCACCAACCAGAAAGGACCCTGATTGCCTGGAAGTCAAAAAATAAATAAAAAGCAAAGTTCAGTCTGTTACCTGCCTGCCCTGAACAGGGGCTGAGATCTCCCATCCTTGCTGCCCCCTCGCACCCTCTGAGCTCACCATGGGTGACACTGAAGCCAAAACCACCCTCATCTTTCACTATGTGGCACAGCCGGGGCCGGACCCCCGGGCCTAGGGTGGGACAGAGGTGGGCATCTTCTCCCAGCTGAGCTCGGGCCACATCATGTACATGCCGAGCCAAGACTGTCAGCAACACCCGAGGACTGCTGGCCCGGATGCGGCGTACCACCTGGAAGAGGGCACGTGGGTGTGGGTTTGGCCTCTACCCTCTTGCCAACCCCCAGGACCTCCCTGGAATTCACTATTTTTTTTTTTTTTTTTGCCATGGGAATTGGCTTTTTAGATGCCTTCCCCAACCCCTCTGACTTGGGCACTCCTAATCCCCGGAGTGCGAGGGAGTGAGGCTTGTGCCCTGCTGCCAGAGTGCCCAGATGCCTGAGCAACCCGCTTCTCTTTCTGAGGCGCTCGCACACTCTCCCGGACCACAGCCTTACCAACGCATAGTCTTCATGTTCCACAGCATGGTTGTTCACCCCCAGGATCCTGTCTCCTTCTTGGAGACCCTGGCGCTGAGCAGAGGTGCCTGGGTCCACCCTGCACACCACATGCCCAGCCCTGCCCAGCTCCTGCCGTAGGTGGAAGCCAAAACTCTTGCCCTCCTCTTTGCTCAGCAAACAGAATCGAGGCCGCTCCAGGCTCCAGGGATCTGGAGGGTGAGGTGGGCAGCAGAAAAGGGGAAGGAGAGGGCACAGCCCAAGTACAGGTTTGCCATATGGCTGGCAGACCCTGTGTCCTGGTAGGGCGCTGGGCAGCTTTTGCCCGGTTGGGTGTTGGGCGGTGGGGTCAACACTTCGTGGGCAGAGGGACTGGGACAGGAGAAAATGACTGGCCCCACCTATCTCCACTACCAAGCAAGGCTGTTATCAGAGGGAGACGGAGTGAGTGGTTACCAAGGAGATAGGAGGCAGAGTGGAGCTGTGGTGCCTCCAGGGAAAGGGAATGGTTGCCAGGGGGTGAGGGAGTTACCAGAGGGGTCACGGTCTTCGGCCAGGGAGAGGACAGGATTATCAATTCCCAGCTTTGGGTTAAACTTAAACTTCCTACAAGGAGGCAGGGGAAGCAGGTACAAGCTGACAGCTGGACTTGGCTCCCAGGATCTCCTTCAGGTGCTAATAGCAGTGAAGTGCTTCCCACCTTGGATTCTTTCCTCCTCTTGCCCCAACCCTCATGGCACTTACAGAGTTAACAAGGCTGTGTCCTGCAGATCTACTGGGCAAAGAAGTGGGTGAGAGGAGAGTCACGTTCTTCTCCCCAGATGTGCCTCTTCCATTGGCATAAACTAAAAGGACTCAGGGGAACCCCCAAACTCAGGGTGTGCCCCCTCCATTCTGTTCCAAAGGGGTCTTCTCTTCTCACTGCTGCACACACAGGGATATTGTGTGGTCCCCTCCCTTCCCCTCCCTCCAAGTCCTTGGCATATAAATCTGAGCATATCAGTACAGGGTGTGGACCAGGAAGACAGACCTACCAACTCACTACTTTTCTCCTGACTTGTTTACCTGCCTCAGGGCTCCAAGCCCCAGAATCAAGTGTGCCTTGGTCCCAGAGCCTCAGCCTCCAAGTCAGCCCCCTACCTGTCCCAAAGTCCCCTGCAGAGGATTTCTCCTGGTCTCCTACCTGCAGCTCTCTCCATAGCTGGATCAGTGACCCAGTGCTTGGGGTAGGGACAAGGTTCATCACAGCCACTGACCCTCCCGCCCATCTCCTCCCATGTCCCGCCTCCTTGAAGACTCTGTGGAAGCAGCGGGGTAATGGTTAACGGGAGTGACAGTCTTTTTTTTTTTTTTTTTTTTTTGAGATGGGGTTTTGCTCTCGTTGCCCATGCTGGAGTGCAATGGCGTGATCTTGGCTCATTGCAACTTCTACCTCTGGGTTCAAGCAGTTCTCCTGCCTCAGCCTCCTAAGTAGCTGGGATTACAGGCATGCACCACCACGCCCAGCTAATTTTGTATTTTTAGTAGAGATGGAGTTTCTCCATGTTGGTCAGGCTGATCTTGAATTCCCGACCTCAGGTAATCTGTCCACCTCAGCCTCCCAAAGTGCTGGGATTACAAGCAAGAGCCACCGTGCCCGGCCCTGCCCAGCATTTCTATTGTTGCCCTGGTGTGTTTATTTTCCTACCGTATTTTCTATTGCTGTATAACACGTGCTCGAAAATCCAGTGACTAAAAACAATACCCATTCTTTTTTTTTTTTTTTTGAGATGGAGTTTCACTCTTGTTGCCCAGGCTGGAGTGCAATGGCATGATCTCAGCTCACCACAACCTCCGACTTCTGGGTTCAAGCGATTCTCCTGCCTCAGCCTCCCGAGTAGCTGGGATTACAGGCATGGGCCACCTCACCCAGCTAATTTTGTATTTTTAGTAGAGACGGGGTTTCACCATGTTGGTCAGGCTGGTCTCGAACTCCCGACCTCAGGTGATCCACTTGCCTCAGCCTCCGAAAGTGCTAAAATCACAGGAATGCGCCACCACGCCTGGTCAAGAGTCTTATCCTCTGGGAAAGTGTGTGGTTTCTCCTGCCCCTTTCCCTGGGCCCCAACTTCTTCCAGAGACCCTGTATCCGGCCCAGTCGGCTCTCTGCAGAGAAAGACAGATTGCTGGTCACTAATTCTAAGCCTGGGGGGTAAGTGTGAAAAGGGTGATAAGAATTATATGGCTTATGATATGATTTGGCTGTGTCCCCACCCAAATCTCATCTTGAATTGTAGCTCCCATAATTTCCACCTGTCAAGGTGAGGGACTATGTTAACTTTTCTTCCTGGGTCCACAGGGGCGTGGTTTCAAAGGCAAGAACTTCCCAGTGCCATGCCTCCATCCACCTCCCCATCTGGTAACCTAGAGTTCTTTGTCTATGCTAGGAACCTTGGGCCCCATCAAATGACGGGGGTGGGGGGATAGAGGGTGTAGCTGAGCCCTGTCCCAAGCCAGTTACAATGGGAGGTACCCAGTGGGAGGTAAGTGAATCACAGGGGCAGGTTTTCCCAGGCTGTTTTAATAATAGTGAATACAAGTCTCATGAGATCTGATGGTTTTATAAAGGGAGTTCCCCTGCACACACTCTCTTGCCTGCCACCATGTATGTGACTTTACTCCTCATTTGCCATCTGCTATGACTGTGAGGCCTCCCCAGCCATGTGGAACCGTGAGTCATTTAAACCTCTTTCCTTTGTAAATTACTTACCCAGTCTTGGGTATGTCTTTATCAGTGGCATGAGAACCGACTAATGCAGCCCAGCATGGACAACCCCCATGCCAATATCTTGTTCATGGGCCCCTCCAGCCTCTACTGGCTCTGAACCTGGTGCCCAAGAACCACTTGCAAGAGATCGTGGTTGGTAGTTTAACCAGAAAGACCAAGAACAGTGCCCTTTCTTGGAAGCACCAGGCAATAAAGAGGAGGCCACAACTGGTGGAAGGCACACAGCTTTTTAATAGCAGCAAGTCAGATGCATCTACCTTGAGGGGCCACCAAGCCATCGGTACCATTGTGGCAAAGGGGGCATGAGGATGAGGAGAAAGCACCAATGTGAGGGCATCCTCGGTGTTCACAGGTGAGCAGAGCATGGTGGCTCACGCCTGTAATCCCGGCACTTTGGGAGGTCAAGGCGGGTGGATCACCTGAGGTCAGGAGTTCAAGACCAGCCTGACCAACATGGAGAAGCCCTGTCTCTACTAAAAATACAAAACTAGCTGGGCATGGGGGCACATGTCTATAATCCCAGCTACTTAGGAGGCTGAGGCAGGAGAATTGCTTGAATCCGGGAGGCGGAGATTGCAGCTGGTGGAGATCGCACCATTGCACTCCAGTCTGGGCAACAAGAGCAAAACTCTGTCTCAAAAAAAAAAAAAAGGAGGGGAAGCCAGCCTCCAACACATCTGGATGGTGACATCCCCAGCATGGCAGACATAAGATGTGAGCCCCTTGCTGGTACAATCGGTGAGAGGAGGGGGAGGCGAGGTTGGTGCATCAGGGCACTCTGGTCATCCACATTCTACATACTTCGGTCCTTCTAGCCAAAGAAAGAGGAGGCATGTTCCATTTCCAAGCCCAAAGCATTGATTTATCTTCTTTAACTTGGCGATTCCAGACTCAGAACTGGTTGAACATGCCCCAGGAGGGTAACCGGCACAACTGTGCCCATTCCTTTGCCGCCAGACCTGAAGAGATCTTTCTAGAAGGAGCAGTGCAAGCCAGGAGCCCAGAGAGGGAAGAGGTTTAGTGCCAGTGGTCACAAAGCTAGGTGCCTGCCACCAGTGTCTCAGCTTCCAGAGCCTCCCAGTCGCTCCAGGAGGGTCCTGACCTCACCCTCCACTCGCAGCAGCTGGGCCTTGCGCCAAGGATTAAGGGTGGCACTCCGGCTATCTTCCAGATCCCGCAGTAGGAGCTCAAGATGGCGCTGGACCCGGGCCCGATCCCAGCTGTTGAGGTTCCGCTGGACTTCACTGAGGATCACTGACCAGTATTCTGACACTGCCGTCCCCTCTGTCAGTGACACCACCACCCGGGCACCGCCTTCAGCAGCACCCCCTAAGTCCCGCAAGACCTGGCGGCCCTCCGAGCTCAGCTCATTGAAGTAGAGGCTGGCAGGAGAGAGAAAGTTGATGCCATTCAGTAGAGCTCTGAGAAGGAGGGCCCAAGGGTGGATGGACAGAAAGTCAGGGGGCCTCACAACTCATCTCCTGGCTGTAGAGTGTGATCAGGTAAGTATCTGCAATGAGCCAGAGATGGAGGGTGCTGGCCAGTGAGAGGTAAGGACCAACACTAGAATTTTTTTTTTTTTTGAGACTGAGTCTCGCTGTCTCCCAATCTGGAGTGTAGTGGCATGATCTCAGCTCCCTGCAACCTCTGCCTCCCAGATTCAAGTGATTTTCCTGCCTCAGCCTCCTAAGTAGCTGGGATTATAGGCATGCACCACCATACCCAGCTAATTTCTGTATTTTTAGTAGAGATGGGGTTTCCCCATGTTGGCCAGGCCAGTCTCAAACTCCTGACCTCAGGTGATGTGCCTGCCTTGGTCTCTAAAAGTGCTGGTATTACAGACATGAGCCACCACACCCGACCCTGATACTAGAATTCAATGGGACCAGGGACAGCAGGCCTCTAGGAGAAATGATGGTCGGGATTTGGAGCAATTTAAGGGCCAGTCACCAGGGTGGTGAGTTGGCTCAGAACTAGGTTGACAAGATCAGTTAGAAACCAGGAACAGAGGACAGGTACCAGGCCAGGCCCAGAAGCACTCCCTAGGATTGGAGGAGCACAGTGGTGAGAGGGAAGGAGTCTGAAGGGCTGGGGGCAATGGGACCAGGGACAGGACTCACTGCAGCAGTTCCAGAGAAGGGTGCTCCCGGGCAGCTCGCGCCAGGGCCAGGGCTGCAGTGTCACCAGCGCCGTTGTAGGCCACGTTCAGCTCCTGCAGCTGCCGGTTGCGGTCCAGCTGAGCAGCCAGCAACTCCAGGCCCTCGTCCCCAAGTCCCGTGTGCAGCAGAGACAGGTGCGTCACTGAGGTGTTTCCTGCCAGCCCCTCCATCAACAGGGCAACACCTGCCGCTGTCAGCGGGTTGTTGGACAGCCTACGGCCATGTGCAACCCAAGGTTATGAGGACCCATTAAGAGGAGGGGGAGGCAAGATTGGTGGTGATGCTGGCAGCCTTGATGGGGCAGCCCTGTGCTAGGTGTCAGGACTTGGGCCAAAGAGGGCCCTGCTTGGGGCAAGAGGAGCCTGGACATAGAAATGCAGGCCCAGGAGAAGGGATGGAGCAATAGGGGGTGTGGTGCCTGGCCGAGGAGGGAGAGTGTGGGAACTGGTCTTTCCTTCCCTCTTCCCCTGACACCTTTCTTATCTATTCCCTTCCTTGTCACCATTTCTTTTTCCCTTCTTCTGCCTTTTTTCACCTCTTCTGCAGCCTCTGCTTCTCCCTCCCCTGACTTCCCTGTCCTTCTCCCTGCTCTTCCTTTTTTCCTCCTCATTTGCCTCTCCTTACACCAACCAGAAACTGGGAATCCAGGCACCCAGATTCCCCACATAACAGTCAACACTTAAGGAGCATCTACTGAGTACCCAGCATTAGAGTCATCCTCAGGAGGCTGGAGGAGAAATCCTGGAAGAGGATCAGTGGCACTGTTACCAGGCAACTGGCCTAGGTATTATTCCACCCTCTCTCCCTACCTCTACCAGGCTGATTTTAGCCAAGGAAGAGATTTCCTAGCACCCATTACAGGTGGCATCTTTCCTGCTGCCCTGCTGCTTACAGTGGACCTGGGGGAAGTGGAGGGGACTCCATTTACTTACTATCCCTTGGGTGGGCCTGTGTCAAGTATGCTGGGAGACAGGGAGCTCACCCTTGCCCTTAGCTGGCCACCAGGATGCCCACTCCCAGGGCACTCACCGCAGTGTGGTGATTTGGCACTGGTCATGCAGCAGCAGGTTTCGGAGGTCCTTGCAGGCCTTGGGGCCCAGGCTGTTGAGTTGCAAGCTGGAGCAGAAGGTGGCCAGAGAGGTGAGAGACCAAGGAGGGAATTCAGCAGGCAGTCTATCTCCCATGCTCTTTTTTCATTAGCCTGCCTCTGGGAATCCATACCTGCTTCCCCCTTTTTCAGAGACAGGGTCTTACTCTGTTGCCCAGGCTGGAGCACAATGGCATAATCACAACTCACTGCAGCCTCAGACTCCTGGGCTCAAGCAATGCCCCATCTCAGCCTCCAGCGTAGCTGGGACTATAGCCATGTGCCACCATAGCTGGATAATTTTTAAATTTTTTGTAGAGATAGGGTGTTGCTATGTTGCCCAGGATGGTCTCAAACTACTAGGCTCAAGTGATGCTTCCCCCTTGGCCTCTCAAAGCAATGGGATTACAGGCAGGAGCCACCATACCTGGCTCCTCCCTTCTGTTGCTCTTCTCAGCTCTGCCCACACTAGACTTCTTTTTTTTTTTTTTTTTTTTGAGACAGAGTCTCGCTCTGGCGCCAGGCTGGAGGGCAGTGGCGTGATCTTGGCTCACTGCAACCTCTGCCTCCCAGGTTCAAGCAATTCTCCTGCTTCAGCCTCCAGACTAGCTGGGACTACAGGCGCGCGCCACCACGCCCAGCTAATTTTTGTATTTTTTTTTTTAGTAGAGATGGGGTTTCACCATGTTGGCCAGGATGGTCTCGATCTCTTGACCTCGTGATCCGCCCACCTCGGCCTCCCAAAGTGCTGGGATTACAGGTGTGAGCCACCGCACCCGGTCCCACACTAGACTTCTTCATCCCACCTTCTGGTCACTTGTCAGTCCCTCTGGTTTCCCTGACACTTTCTCTTCCCACTTCTTCACCTCCAACCCTCTTCCCTCTTCATGCCTGTGCATGAGGATAGGTCCTCACCCCAGCTTCCGGGTTCGCAGGAAGACAGGCATGAGTGTGCGTAGCCCAGCAGGGTCTAGCTGGCAAGAGGCCAAGTTCACCTCATCCAGGGCATGCCTTCCGCTGCCCAGCACAGCTGCCACCACTGTGCACTTGACAGGTGTCATGCGCACACCTGCCAGGTTGAGCTGGCGCAGGGAGCTGAGCACCTCAGCGGAGAAGCGCTGGTTCTGGAACTCGTAGTGGAAGAAGAGGTGGTCAAGGAGCTCCGAGGGGGGCAGCACCTTCCGGCCCAGCTTGCCCAGCTTCTTCTTGATGGCCTGGGCATTCTCCAGGGCATCCAGGTTTTTGATAGGGCAGCCAAGTTGAGCTAGCACAGCTCGGTTGTGGGCAGAGAGAAGTCCCCCCATGAATATGGGGAAGAGCTCGAAGACTTCATCCTCAGGGGGCTCATCTGGGTGGCGCCGGGGGCCCTCCAGGCCCAGGATACTGGCACCCATCTGGTCTAGAACATCATCGTTGTAGTAGTCCTCCTCTCGGAACATCTCCAGAACCATGGCCTGGGCCACCGCCTTCTGGCTATTACCCACCATGCGCCCAAACACTCGAGGAACCACCTGAAAAAGAAGGAAGAGAGGGTCACTGGGGCCTTCCGTGTGCCTGTTCAGCCTTCAAGGCTCAGCTTAAGGTACATCCCCATGACTGCTCCAGCCTGTGATCTCCCCTTGAACTTAGCATAATTTGTCTGATCATGCTACTCCCCCTCTGCAACACCTTCCATGGCTCCCTACTGGCTATGTGGCAAACTCCAAACATTTAGCCTGGAATAGGAAACGTTTTTTAAAACTAGAGGTGGGATCTTACTGTGTCACCTAGGCTGGGCTCCCTGGCCTAGGCCTCCCACATTATTAGGATTATAGGCATGAGCCGATGCACCTGGCCCAAAACTTTTCATAATTTGGCCCTAATTTGACCTTTTCAGGGTCATCTCTCAACACCTGTCTCATGTGCTGCAGATGTTAGGAATTTCTTTCTCTTTCCCAAGCACTCCAATACATTTTCGAACCCAGGAGGCAGTGAGAAGAAATTAGCATGTATTACACACTTAGTTTGGGACCAGGCTAGGTGTCACAAATACATTACCGTCTTCAGCATCACTGTTATCACAGCGACTATGATTGATACCGCTCCTACTGCTTCAAGGGCCTGTGTGATCTGGGCCCTGCCAACTACAGTGCCTTCATCGTAAGCCTCTTGGCCCCACTCACTATGATCCTTCCACTTCCGCTTTTTTTTTTTTTTTTTGAGACAGAATCTTGCTCTTTCTCCAGGCTGGAGTGCAGTGGCATGATCTCAGCTCAGGGCAACCTCTGTCTCCCAGATTCAAGAGATTTTCCTGCCTCAGCCTCCTGAATAGCTTGGACTACACCACCACGCCCAGCTAATTTTTTCGTAGAGACAAGGTTTCACCATGGCCAGGATCTCAATCTCCTGACCTCATGACCCACCCACCTTGGCCTCCCAAAGTGCTGGGATTACAGGCATGAGCCACCACGCCCGGCCTTCGGCTTTTATCTTAACAGTGCCAAGGTTTTCCCTCCTTCGAAGCCTCCATAGGCCAGGCGCAGTGGCTCTTGCCTAGAATTCTGGCACTCAGGGAGGCCGAGGTGGGAGGATCACTTGAGCCCAGGAGTTCAAGACAAGCCTGGGCAATGTAGCCAGATGCTGTCTCTATAAAATAATTTTTTTTTAATTTAAAACAAAAAATTGCTGGGCATGGAGACTCACACCTATAATCCCAGCACGTTGGGAGGCCAAGGTGGGCAGATCACCTGAGGTCAGGAGTTCGAGACCAGCCTGACCAACATGGAGAAACCCAGTCTGTACTAAAAATACAAAGTTAGCCAGGCGTAGTGGTGCATGCCTGCAATTCCAGCTACTCAGGAGGCTGGGGCAGGAGAACCCAGGAGGCGCTTGAACCAGGAGGCAGAGGTTGTGGTGAGCCAAGATCGTGCCATTGCACTCCAGCCTGGGCAACAAAAGTGAAACTCCATCTAAAAAAAAAAAAATAGCCAGGCATGGTGGCATGTGCCTGTAGTCCCTGAGCACTGGAGGTTGGGGCTGCAGTGAGCTGAGATCATGCCACAGAACTCCAGCCTGAACAACAGAGCAAGACCCTCTTTGAAGAGAGAGAAAAAAAAAAACCTCCAGGATGCTACCCCCTTCCTGGGATGATGTTTCCCCCCCAGTTCTTCCCTTGGCTAATGCTACAAGGGTCAAATGACATGCCCTTTCACAAAGAGGCTCCCCTGGCCCCTCAGACCAGTTCCCCCACTACACACTTTCACGGCACCTGGGGCCTTTCTTTCTAGGCATTTGCCATAATTTTGCCTTATATGGTTACGTTGATATTTTTGTGTTCAAACTGTGCAGGAAGCAGCAGTTTCCTTCTGGAAGAGGAGCTCAGACTAGATCAGAAAGGGCAGAAACCTGTAGTTTGGTTAACTGATGTTTCCTCAGATCCTAACACATTGCCTGGCACACAGCAGGCACTCAAATATCAGACAAAGAAATGAAGGTCTGGCTGGGCGTCGTGGTTCACGCCTGTAATCCAAGCATTTTGGAGTCCAAGGCGGGTAGATCACCTGAGGTCGGGAGTTCAAGACCAGCCTGACCAACATGGTGAAACCCCGTCTTAAAAAAAAAAAAGAAAGAAATGAAGGTCTGGGGGTTTGTGGTATCTCCCCCCGTCCCTGCAATGCTTCTGAAAGGAAAGACGGGTCGTTCCTCTGGCAACAAACCATGACGCTGTTTTGTGGCACCTCCTTTAACATCTGGGGCTTTTTCACTTTTTACTTTTTATTTGTTTAGAGACAGGGTATTGCTGTGTCACCCAGGCTGGAGTGCAGTAGTGCAATCATAGCTTACCGTAGTCTTGAACTCCTGGGCTTAAGCAATCCTCCTGCCTCAGCCTCCCAAGAGCTGGGACTACAGGTGTGCACCATCGCACCCAGCTTTTTTTCATGTTTGTATGTGAGGTTGCCTTCATAGAGGTGATAGTGCCCCTTCTCCAACACTAATCTGTGATAAGCCCAGAAAATGTCACCCTGTGAAGCTGAATCCACAGGATCATGAAGAAACAGATGGGCTCAGTGCTCTCCCAGGGCAGCCCTCCCTCCAAGAGGGCTTGGGGATTCGGGGACTGACAATTCTGGTAGGCTTTCAATAACTAGGGGCTTTCTGAATCCCCTCGAGTGACTGCAGCCTCTTGGTGCAACTCAAGTCCAGCAGGCACATCCTCAAGGTGGGGGTGGCCTCAGCAGCAGCTGTCACCTCCTATCAGAGGTGAAGGTGTGAGAAGGGGTGGGCTTCCTGAGCCTGTTTCTTTCTTTTTTGAGACAGAGTTTCATTCTGTCCCTCAGGCTGGAGTGCAGTGGTGAGATCTAGGCTTACTGCAACCTCCACTTCCTGGGCTGAAGCAATTCTCCTGCCTCAGACTCCCAAGTAGCTAGGATCACAGATGCGCACCACCATGCCTGGCTTATTTTTGTACTTTTAGTAGAGACAGGGTTTCACCATGTTGGCCAGGCTAGTCTCAAACAGAACCTGTTTCTATGTGTGACACACAATTAAACAGCATAGGCTGGGCATGGTGACACTCCTGTAATCCCAGCACTTTGGTAGGCTGAGGTGGGTGGATCACCTGAGGTCAAGAGTTCAAGACCAGCATGGCCAACATGGTGAAACCCCATCTCTACTAAAAATACAAAAAGTAGAGCCAGGCGCGGTGGCTCACGCCTGTAATCCCAGCACTTTGGGAGACTGAGGTGGGCAGATCACCTGAGGTCAGGAGTTTGAGACCAACATGGAGAAAACCTGTCTCTACTAAAAAATACAAAATTAGTTGGGTGTGGTTGCACATCCCTATAATCCCAGCTGTCGGGAGGCTGAGGCAGGAGAATCGCTTGAACCCAGGAGGTGGAGATTGTGGTGAGCCAAGATTGCGCCATTGCACTCCAGACTAGGCAACAAGAGCAAAACTCCGCCTCTCTCTCTATATATATGTATGTACAAAAATTAGCCGGGCATGGTGGTGTGGGCCTGTAATCCCAGTTACTTGGGAGGCTGAGGCAGGAGAATCGTTTAAACCCGGGAGGCAAAGGTTGCAGTGAGCAGAGATGGCACCACTGCACTCCAGCCTGGGTGACAGAGCAACAGTCCATCTCTAAAAAACAATCAAACAGCACTTACCGTGTGCCAGACTCTGAGGATGAGCTCATTCAGTTTTCATATTCGGCCAGTTATATAAGTTCTAGTATCATTTCCATTTCACAGAAAAGGAATCTGAGGCACAGAGTTAAGAGACCTGTCCAAGATCTCACAGCTAATATGTAGTAGAGCTTGGATTTGAACTCAAATAGCTGAATTACTAATCCCTGTTCTTAGCCCTTACGCTTTGTTGCCTATAAAAAAAACCTGGCCCGACACAGTGGTTCATACCTGTAGCCCAACACTTTGAGAGGCCTAAGTGAGAGAATCACTAATGAGACCCCATCTCTACAAAATTAATTTTTTTATTTTTAATTTAATTAATTTTTTAAAAATAGAGATGGGGTTTCACCATTTTGACCAGGATGGTCTTGAACTCCTGACCTCAGATGATCCACCCACCTCAGCCTCCCAAAGTGCTGGGATTACAGGCGTGAGCCACCACGCCCATCCAATTTAATTAATTTTTAACATTTTTTTAGAGGGAGTCTCGCTCTCTCAGGCTGGAGTGCAGTGGCACGATCTCGGCTCACTGCAACCTCTGCCTCCCAGGTTCAAGAGATTCTCTTGCCTCAGCCTTCCGAGTAGCTGGGATTACAGGGAACCGCCACCAAGCTTGGCTGATTTTTATATTTTTAGTAGAGAAGGAATTTCACCATGTTGACCAGGCTGGTCTCGAACTCCCCACCTCAGGTGATCCACCTCCTTGCCTCCCAAAGTGCTGGGATTATAGGCATGAGCCACTGTACCCAGCTACAAAATTAAAATTTTTTTAGATTAGCCAAGGATGGTGGCACATGCCTGTGGTCCCAGCAACTCAGTGAAGTTGAGGTGGATTGATTGAACCCAGGAGGTCGAAGCTGCAGTGAGCTGTGATTGTACCACTGCACTCTAGCCTGGGCAACAGAGTAAGACTGTCTCAAAAAATAAAAATAAAAATAAATTTAACAGCCTGGCACAGTGGCTCACACCCATAATCCCAGCACTTTGGGAGGCTGAGGTGGACGAATCATGAGGTCAGGAGTTCGAGACCAGCCTGGCCAACATAGTGAAACCCTGTCTCTACTAAAAATACAACAAATTAGCTGGGCATGGTGGTGGGCACCTGTAATCCCAGCTACTCGGGAGACTAAGGCAGGAGAATCGCTTGAACTCAGGAGGTAGAGATTGCAGGAGCCAAGGTCATGCCACTGCACTCCAGCCAGGGTGACAGTGTGAGATTCCATCTCAAAAAATAAAAATAAAAACAGTCCAGGCACTGTGGCTCATGCTTATAATCAAGCACTTTGGGAGGCCAAGGTGGGTGGATCACCTGAGGTCAGAAATTCAAGGCCAGCCTGGCCAACATGGTAAAACTCTGTCTCTGTTAATAATAATAATAAATAAATAAATAAATAAATAAAATAATAAAATGAATAAAAATAAAAATAAATTTTAAAAAAGTATTGAAATTCTGCCAGCACTAGCCAGCACTCTGCCTCCTCAAAATCGGTTTCTGAAACATTCCTATAGAAAACAAAGGTTACCTAGCACAGCCCCACAGCTTCACAGAAATCTCCATAATGCACCAGTATAGTTTAGCAGAAAAAGCACAGGATTCAGAATCACAAAGCCCTGGGCTCCTAACCTAGCTTTTTTACTTACTGTTATCACTTTTTTACAAGAGTGATCTTGGACAAGTTATTTTGCCTCTCTGAGCCCCAGTTTATTCATCTGTAAAAGGGATCATAGGCCAGGAGCAGTGGCTCAAGCCTGTAATCCCAGCACTTTGGGAGGCTGAGGTAGGTGGATCATGAGGTCGAGATGGAGACCATCCTGGTCAACATGGTGAAACCCCGTCTCTCCTAAAAATACAAAAAATTAGCTGGGCATGGTGGCACGAGCCTGTAATCCCAGCTACTCAGGAGGCTGAGGCAGGAGAATTGCCTGAACCCAGGAGGCGGAGGTTGCAGTGAGCCAAGATCATGCCATTGTACTCCAGCCTGGGTAACAAGAGAGAACCTCTGTCTCAAAAAAAAAAAAAAAAAAAAAGGGATCATAGTATTTCCTTTCTAGGAGTATGTGAAAAACAAAAGGGAGGACACTGATAAAGGTCCTGGCACACATCACAGAGTGGCTCCTTCCAGCCCTCAAAGACCTCACTCAGCTGTGCTGCTCACAGCACAGTCCTAGGTCTGTAATTTGGTTTCTGGAGTGGACCTGCCCTCAGGACAACTCCACTAAGCCAATTACTGATGCCAGGCATCGTCCTAGTATAAATGAATAAAATGGCATCTGCTTTATAAACCTGTCTCTGGTGATTTAGTTAGGATGAGTCATCACTCTCAGCCTAATCACCTCTGGTGGAACAGATACAATCAAAGCAGAGGACAGATCTGCCTCCTAGGAGGAAAACCACAAACAGAAAACCATTTTTAGGAATCCATGTAGGATTGTTTTTAAAGTCCCCCATGTTCCCAAATTCCCCTCCCCAGCCACCGAGCATTCACTGGCCTTGTGGCTTCTCTCTCCGTAATCCCACTAAAAGCCAAAATGCCCAGAGCTGAAACCAGATCCAGAAAGAAGATTCATACCTGTGCAGGAAGCAGCAGTTTCCTGCTGGGAGAGGAGCAACAATTGAACAGGGAACCATGAGGAGTGTGGCCAGCTTGGGGTGCTGGGGAGGGAAGGAGCAGATAGGGGGGTCTCAGGAATGTTACCTTGAGCAGATTGAAGAGCAGTGGCAGAGCCTTAAGAGGCAGCAGCTTGGCCATGATGCCCAGTACCAGGCTGACATCCTCCCCGACACGGCCCACAAGCTCAGCCACTTCCTTGCCCACCCGTTGCAGGGTCGTCTTGTGCAAACCCAGCACGATGTAGAGGGCAGCCAGGTATTCCTGCATGGCAGGCACGGTGAACACGAAGGTGCCTGCGCGCCCTGGCTCCACACACGGGGCCAGGAAAAACCTCAGGGCATCCCGGCGGAAGATGTGCAGCAGCTGAAACTCCTCCTCTGTCTTGATGCCAGCCTCCAGGCAGCCACGGACATCCTCTTCAGAGAAGTAGGTCTTTCGGGAGGTCACCCCCTGGTAGGCCAACTTGCCCATGGTTCGGGCTGCATAGGCCATCAGGGACAAATTGGAGGGGTCCGTGCTGTCCAGGGTTTCCCCACTGAAGTTGAGGCGCAGAAAGCTGGTATAGATGCTGGTAAGGGTCTGCCCAGCAGTTGTGGGGGCATGCAGGAAGTGCAAGGTGGCACAGATGAGCCAGCAATAAGATGGCAGGAAGCAGGCGGCAGCGATCTGGTGGTGCCCCTCCAGGTTCCGGGAGAGCATCTGCACCAGGTTGTCACGCTGAGCTGGTGTGGCGAAGACACCAGCAGTGTCCCCGCAGTGCACTGCAGGTGCACCCCCAGCAGTGTCCCCACAGTCCGGCTGGTTGAGGCGGAGCTGGAAGTAGAGCTTCTGCAGGTTGGTATCAGAGAAACCACAGATTTCACCATAGCGTCCCACATACTTGCTGGGGATGCGGCCGATGGCAGAAGGCCGAGTGGTCACCAGAATGCTGGCCTGGGAAGAGCATGGTTGAAAGTTAAGAAAGACCTTAGCGGCCTGGCGCGGTGTCTCACACCTGTAATCCCAGCACTTTGGGAGGCCGTGGCGGGCAGATCATGAGGTCAGGAGATCAAGACCATCCTGGGCAACATGGTGAAATCCCATCTCTACTAAAAATACAAAAATTAGCTGGGTGTGGTGGCATGTGCCTGTAATCCCAGCTACTCAGGAGGCTGAAGCAGGAGAATCATTTGAACCAGGGAGTTGGAGGTTGCAGTGAGCTGAGATCACTCCATTGCACTCCAGCCTGGCAACAGGGTGAGACTCAGTCTCAAAAAAAAAAGCAAAAGAAAGGAAGAAAGACCTTAGTGTCCTGCTGACTACCTCTATTCCCAGGGGACCCCTGAATTCTGAGTGTTCAAGAATGAAGACAATGATGCAATGATGAGGATAACAGTTATAACACGCAATTATTGAGCACCTGCTGTGATCCAGGCCGCTGTGCCAATGTCATGTGCAGTATCCCATTTGATCAGAGCAATTCAAGGAGAGTGGAACAGAAGCCTAGAGAAGTTACTGACTTGCTCAGAGTCACACCACTGGGAAGTGAAGAGACCAGGAGGTAAAGTAAGCCAGGACCTAGGGGGCAAGTCAAGGGGCAGCAGCGATAGCCTGGGGCAAAGGGCCACCTACCTCAGGCAGCATGTATTTGCGCAGCAGATTGACGATGATAGCAGCTGGTGCCTCTGGTTCCTCAGGGTCACTACAAAGTCCTGTGCCTGACAACCGGAAGTCAAGGTTGAGATGCTCCAAGCCATGGAGCACGAAGAGGAGGCGGGATCCAGTGACGGCCATCAGGGGCAGAACCTGCTTCAGGGGCATGTAACGCTGAGCCACAAGTTGGAACAAGGAGGCCGGGGCAGAGCCCAGGGACGACAGATCCACACAGGAGAAGGGGATGAGCAGCTTGAAGGTTGGCAGCCGCCCGTGACACCAGTCCAGAACCATCTTGCGCACCAGCGTGCTCTTGCCTGTGCCCACTGTCCCATACAGCACCACTGTCTGCACCCGGCGCCCACAGGCATCTGGGTCAAAGAGCTGAGACAGGGCCAGTTGGGGGAGCCCAGCTTGGGGAGGCTGATGCTCCAGGGCCGACTCCGAGAATGGGTGAAGTAACTGATCAGGGTTGCTTTCACGGATCACAGGGTCAACGTGGACCGTGTCTAGGGCAAAGGTCGGGCCAAACTGGCGCTCCTCCCTGGGCAGCCGGCAGAACCACTCAGCTAGGTTCTGGCGATGCTGCTGGATAGCTTCTGTATGGGAAGACAAGGGAAATGGGTCAGGGAAAGGGGCCTTGGAGATGTAGCTTAGGGCCAATTAGGGCAGTGGTGAGGTCAGGCTAGGACGTCAAGGCATGGATGCTGGGGCCCACAGTCATGGGCACACAAGACTTCCTGAGAAACTGTCCAGAAAGTTTGGAACCCCTATGTCAGAAAGTTGGGAGCCGCTGGACAAGTAATGCTGAGCCTAGACCGACTGGTTTCACCCTGACTTATGTGCTACCTTAACCTGCTAGACCCAACATGTTGAGGATAGGGATGGTATGGCTCTCCTAGTGCTTTATACACACAAGTGTGCATTACATGAGTATTGCAGGAAGGGCTACGTAGATGGATGGGAGGGAGGGAGAGAGAGAGGAGGAGGGACCACGGATGGAAGATGGCAGTGGGTCCTCTATGCCTCCCTCACCCTGCTTCTCCTTCCAGCCCCCTCTCCCCACCACAACCCCTAACCAGGGTCCCAGCCAGTCCCTTTACCAGTTGCAGAGGCACTGGGGAATAGCCGTCCATGCCTTGAAGATGGGGGAGCGCTGTCTGCAGAGCTTCCATGGTGGCGTATAAAGGCCCTGGGAACAAGGAAAGGAGATGAGCTGGGACTTGGATCTTTGGTCAGCCCCTTCATAGGCTCTGGATCCAAGCCTGTCTGCACTACTAGACTTCTGCCTTCCTGAAATACAGGCCCCACACTTGACGCTTGTCTGACTCCCTTTTTTTTTTTTTTTGAGACGGAGTCTTACTCTTGTTATCCAGGCTGGAATGCAATGGCATGATATCGGCTCACCACAATCTCTACCTCCTGGATTCAGGCAATCTCCTGCCTCAGCCTCCTGAGTAGCTGGGATTACAGGCACGTGCTACCATGTCCAGCTAATTTTTTGTATTTTTAGTAGAGACGGGGTTTCACCATGTTGACCAGGATGGTCTCAATCTCTTGACTTCGTGATCCACCCGCCTCAGCCTCCCAAAGTGCTGGGATTACAAGCGTGAGCCACCGTACCCGGCCTGCCTGTCTGACTCTCACACCCCTCCCAGGAACTGAGCCCTTATCCCTCCAGCCCCCACTGCTGACTGCTGCCCGGAACTCAAGCTGGCCATGCTAGGCTCCACCTACTTCCCACACATCCTCCCTCCACTGAGCACTATGCCTTCTACCACAGATGATCTAAGCCAACTTCCTCTCAGGCCTAGGAGCTGCCACTGTATCCTTCCACCCCCAGAGGACCAAGCCCCTCCCCAAGGTCCCCAAGAGATCAAGCTGGCCCCAAGTCCTGACCCTTCCAGTCTACTCTGTTGTGCCTAGATTAGTCCTAGGTATGACACCCAGCCTCACCTAGGGAGCCCAAGGGGACGCTCCCCTTGAAGGGGCCAACTCCAGTGGATGAGGAAGGGGAAACGTTCATCTACAGAGAGAAGGAAGAACAACATCTGCAGATCCCATCCAATACACAGAACCCATGTCTGCATCAGATCCCCCAGTATTTGCTCTCATAGCAGCATGGACAGCCCCTTTGCAGCAGTTATTTTGAAATTTTATATGTCATTGTGCGATTATTTGATTAACATTCATTCCTCCCCGCTCTATGAGAGGGATCACATCTGGATGTTGTGCAATTTTACATCTTTTTTTTTTTTCACAATTATTTACTTAGAACTTAACACGGTCTGCAGTATGGCAGGTGCTCAGTAAATCTCTTTTGTATGTAAAATAAAATCAGACAAGTTCCTAGACTTAGGTAGCTACAAGAGACCCTCGAAGACGATCTAGTCTAACTCCCTTATTTTAGGATGGGAAAAAGGCAGCTCAGGAAGGTGAGGCGACATGCCCAAGGTCAACAGCTAGAGAAACACAGAGCTGAGACTAATGCACCTGGTGTCTAGATCCCTGCTGTTGGCATCATGTGGACCCTGAAAAGCAAGAAAGAGGTAAAAACAGAAACCCCTGCTTCCTGCTCACCTGGTCGCTGGAGTGCTCTTCCAAAACCAGAGCCCCAAGAGGCCCTGGGCAAATGGTGGCCCCACCTCATCCTGGGAAAGAAGGTCAGAGCCTGGCCTAGTACCAACTTCTATCCTGCTCCCCTGCAAGAAGAATGGTATGAAGGGATCACTGCCACTACTCCTCCCCTGCACCCTGCCCCACTCCAGCCAAGGAGGGACCTTCCTCCCAGAAAGGGATCAGCCCTTCCTCAAATATTGGTCCTGCTGAAGCCCTAGCCTGGCTTTCAGCTCTCATTCCTCTCCCGAACTCCAACTTGGGGGATCCCATTTTTTCTCCTACCACTTTTTTTTTTTTTTTTTTTTTTGAGACTGAGTTTTGCTCTTGTTGCCCAGGCTGGAGTGCAATGGCGCCATCTCAGCTAACTGCAACCTCCACCTCCCAGGTTCAAGTGATACTCCTGGCTCAGCCTCCTGAGTAGCTAGGATTACAGCCCCATGCCACCATGCCCAGCTAATTTTTTGTATTTTTAGTAGAGACGAGGTTTCACCATGTTGGCCAGGCTGGTCTCAAACTCCTGACCTCAGGTGATCCGCCCACCTCAACCTCCCAACGTGTTGGGATTACAGGCGTGAACCACTGCGGCCAGCCTTTTTTTTGAGATGGAGTTTCCAGGCTGGACTGCAATGGTGTGATCTTGGCTCACTACAGCCTCTGCCTCCCAGGTTCAAGCGATTCTCCTGCCTCCGCATCCCAAGTAGCTAGGATTACAGGTACCCACCACCACACTGGGCTAATTTTTATATTTTTAGTAGAGACAGGGTTTACCATGTTGGCCAAGCTGGTCTCAAACTTCTGACCTCAGATAATCCACCCACCTCAGCCTTGAAAAGTGTTGGGATTACAAGCATGAGCCATCACACCCAGCCTTCCTATCACCTCTTGCCTCTCCCTTGAAGCTTCACAAACACCTTTCCCTGAGTTCCAACCTGGCAAACTGCTTCATTTAGGAGTCCTTTTTCCTTCTTGGCCACTGGCAAGCTCAGATAGGAGTTCTGGGTTCCATTTTCAGTGGCTTTTCTGCGCCTAGATTTTCCAGTAATAATGATCCACCCTGCTCTGCCTTTCTTCCTCAGCTATCAGGTCCTTTTAGCTGAGTTTTAATGGTTTTTTGTTTTTTGGTTTTTTGTTTTTTTTCCTGAGATGGAGTCTTACTGCTCTTGCCCAGGCTGGACTGCAATGGCACAGTCTCAGCTCACCGCAACCTCGGTCTTACAGGTTCAAGGGATTCATCAGCCTCAAGAAAGTCTTGATCTTGACCTTGTGATCCACCTGCCCTGGACTCCCAAAGTGCTGGGATTACAGGCATGAGCCACGTCACCCAGCCTAGAGTTTCAAAGGTTTTATCATTTTATGTTTCTGTGACCTTGATGTAAGCAGCCTTTGAGGCTGACATAAATAACAAATAAATGAATAAACTTCTCACTTGACATCTCCAGAGGGACAACCTGCCTCTGCTTCAAACTTCCCCACGTAAAACTGAACTCATCATTCCCCTCCCCTTGTCATTTACCTTGCTGCAAATCTTCCCACCCACACCTCACACTAGAAACCTGACCTGTCTTCAAATCTTTCTTCCCCTGCTCCTTCAGGCAGTGTGAACAGTCCTAGCAATTCATCCCCACTGCTTTACCAGCCAGTTGCTGCCCCGACCAGGACTTATTGGACCCAATCTCCTCACCAGCCTTTCTGCCTTCAGTCTCATCCCATTCTAATCCCTCATCCCAGGGACCAAGCACCTCCCTAAGTCCCAGGTTACTTATAGAGTCCAAACACCGGGCTCCCACAAGCTATTTTTCTGAGTTTGTCCTTAGCCTGTACCTTATTCCCCAGGCTCACCGGATTCTTCCTCTTACTGTCCTAAATTTATTCATACACTTCTCAGTTTAGAATGACCTTTCTCCTCTGTTACAGTCCCAACCAAAATTTTTTTTTCTGAGACAGGGTCTCTAGCTCTGTTGCCCAGGTTGGAGTGCAGTGGCGTGATCTCACAGCACCCCCTACCTCCTGGGCTCAAGCCATCCTCCTGCCTCAGTCTCCCCAGTAGCTAGGACTACAGGGGTGTGTCACCACACCTGGCTAAGTGTTGTTTTTTGTTTTTGTAAAGACGGGGTTTTCACCATTGTTGCCCAGTCTGGTCTCGAACTCCTGGACTCAAGGTATCCGCCCGCCTCGGCCTCCCGGCCTCCCAAAGGGCTGGGACTACAGGCGCCAGCAACCACTCGGGCCCCAACCAGTCTTTTAAGATCCTGCTCAAAAGTCTCTGTCCCTGGAAAGCCTTTTCTGAGGCCTCTGAACTCACTCAAATGGAATGTGCCCCTATTTGGCACCTGGTCTCCTCCACTGAGATCGGGGTTTCTTGGGCAGGGCACGCTTAGGGAGAACTGGCTCCATTGGGCCATCTGCCTTAGCAGGAACAACCAGTGGAGAAGCTGGCTGGGTGCTGGCCCGTCCCAGTGGCTGGAGAAGGGTTAAGAGAGGGTTCTAGAAGCCTGAGAAATCTGAGTTCCGGGTTAACCTCGGATATAGGGCCACTGGGTCAGGATAGTACTTGCAGGGCCGAGGGCAGTTCTCCGATGATCACCCGGGTCTCCAGGGTAGTGAGAAAAGGAGGGGGCACTGCAGGAAAAGTACAGGGGCGATGTTACCACAGGTCCGGGCTCCTCTACCAAAATGGGTCCCAAACAGCTCTCCTGCTTTCAGGTGGCCTCAGAGACCCAGGGGGAGACTTGCCAGAACGCCAGCCATTCAGCGCCCAGCTCGGTCCCTCTCGTTCCCGGCAGGTATCTCCCCGCGGCCCTTCCCCGGCCCGCCCTGCCCCCCCGCCCAGCGCGGCCGCCCAGCCAGGGGCGCAGGGGCGATTGAGCCCGCTAGGCCTTTACCCACGGCTGCCCAGTACCGGGAGCCGTTGGCCGCGGCCCGGAGGGGTCGGCGGGGCGGACGCCGGCGTTTCCGCTGGCTCCCAGCGTCCCCAGCTCCTCGGTGCGGCGCTTCCTGCCCGCCTGTGCGTCCCTGGCACCCGGCCCTGGCGGCGGGCGCGAAAGAGGAAGAGCCCAGGCACTCAGGCCTGCGGGGTTCTGGGACGAGGGGGGTCAACGAGAGGGGCCTGGTGCCCGGGAGCAGGTGCAGGGCCGGCACTCCGGCGCCACCAGTCTGACCATCGCCCCAGCCACTCCCTGGGCGCGGCCCTCAATTCCCGGGGGCCCTGCCGCTAGTGCTGCCCTCTGCAGGTTCCCAAGCGCCAGTGACACCCAGTGAACTCACTAACCACCTTCCAGGCTGGGCCAGGTCCATTTTACAGATGAAGAACTGATGCTCAGAAGGGTGAAATGATTTGTGCAGGTTGATTCATTTAGGAGGTGAATGAGCCAGAACAGAATCCTGGGCTTGGGTCGTCCTACCTTACCCCTAGGCCTCCATGAGGCGCAGGTCTCCAGGGGGTCCTTCCCTCTGTCCCTGACTCCCCAGCCTACCTCCAGGCAGAGACCTGAGCCTAAGGCTTCCTTGAGTTCTCCCTTCTGTACCTGGTCCTCTTCAGACCCCAGACCTCTGTGTATGGCCTCTGGTAACCTTGGTTAAGAAAGGAGGAAGAATGGGGGGGGGGAATGAGGGACAGCTTGCACCCCAACCTGCTCTTCGGGTCTGACACCCAATCATGGCCTAGCCCTGGGGCTTCCTAGTTCTCAAAGCCCCCACCCTAATCCCTGCTCTTCCACACAGGGCACACCCTGAGCTCACATAGCACAGATGGAGGAGCCACCCACCACCCACAGCCAGGGCACGTCTTCGTATGCAAGCCTGAGTGTGCAATGTTCACACAACAGAGCTGTGCACTGTTGTAGTAGAGCACCACAGAGAGGCTCTCCAGGGCAGGGCTGGGAAGAGGACTTAGTGAAAACAATGCAGATGTTTCATTTAGACCTTTGTTCATTCACTGTTGTGTGGTATTAGGTAGTACTGAGCACCTCACCCCCACCGGCCAGGTCCAGCACTATGCCCTAGGCTGCCAACCAGAACAAGACATGCAGCTCCCTTTAATAGAACCAACTACCACATTTACAAATGATGTACTTCAAGGTCAGGGCAGGAGGATTGCGTGAGACCAGGAGTTTGAGACCAGCCTGGGCAACATAGTGAGACCCTGTCTCTATTAAAAATGAAAATTAAAAAATAAAAAACAGACAAACAAATGATGTACTTCAGAGCCAGAGGCAAAGCATTAGGAGAGTCTGGAAAAGGGAGTGCAGAGGAGGTAACATTTGAACTGGATCTGAAAAAAAGTAATCAGAGGGCCAGGCCCAGTGGCTCATGCCTGTAATCTCAGAACTTTGGAGAGCTGGGGCGGGCAGATCTCCTGAGGCCAGTGTAAATTCTGACCGCTCTGTGGACAGCATGACGACCCCCATGAACCACACGTACACCTCTGGAGGGCCTTCTGGAATTAGAAAACCTGAAGAGCTGGAAAGTCAGGAAAAGAGGAAGAAATTATCAACCCCCTCCTGCTCAGATGAACTTATAGGAAAAAAAAATTATCAACCCTTGCTGCGCCTACTTAACTTTAAGACATTCTCTATTGTTTCTTATTCCAGCCTCAATTGACAAGGCCACAGGACTTTGTAACCAACCTTGGCCAAACTCCACGCCCTATATCCCCTTCCCAGCCTGGCCAACCTCCTGACTCCATACCCTACGACCCCCTCCCAGCTTGCCGAAAAAAACGCCCTAACGTAACTTTTGTAACTTTCCACTGCTTTCCTCACAATATATAAAACCAACTCCTATCCCACTGCCCTTTGCTGACGCCCTTTTTGGCCACAGCCCACCTGTACCCAGGCAAATAAACAGCCATGTTGCTCACACAAAGCCTGTTTGGAGAGCAGGGGTCTCTTCATTCAGTGAGCACATTTTAACAGCCAGGAGTTAGAGACCAGCCTGGCCAACATGGTGAAACCCTGTCTCTACTGAAAATACAAAAGACTGGCCAAGTGTGGTGGCTCACGCCTGTAATCCTAGCACTTTGGGAGGCTGAGGCAGGCAGATCGCCTGAGCTTTAGAAGTTCGAGACCAGCCTGGGCAACATGGTGAAACCTTGTCTCGACTAAAAATACAAAAATTAGCCGAGCTTGGTGGTGTGTGCCTACGGTCCCAGCTACTCAGGAGGCTGAGGCAGGAGAATAGTTTGAACCCAGGAGGCTGAGGTTGCAGTGAGCCGAGATCACACCACTGCACCACTCCTGCCTGGGAGACAGAGCAAGACTCCATGTCAAAGAAAAAAAATCAGCCAGGAGTGGTGGCATGGACCTGTAGTCCCAGCTACTCAGGAGGCTGAGGCACAAGAATTGCTTGAACCCAGCAGGCAGAGGCTGCAGTGAACTGAGATCTTGCCACTGCACTCTGTAGCCTGGGCAATAAAGTGAAACTGTCTCAAAAATAAAAATAAAAACACAAAAACTTAGCTGGGTGTGGTGGCACATGCTTGTAATCCCAGCTACTCGGGAGACTGAAGTAGTAGAATCACTTGAACCTGGGAGGGAGATGTCTCAGTGAGCTGAGATCACGCCACTGCACTCCAGCCTCTCAAAAAATAAAAAAATCAGAGAAAGGAAGAGCAGGGCATCCCAGCAGCAGGGTGAACAACATATTTGCATTAAAAAAGAGGTTCTTCAAGGGGATAGAATGGGATGTGGGAGGGGAAGTATAGGAACCCTATGAAGGTAGTCACAGGGGTGACAGTTTGGGCCTGGTAAACTCCTCTAGCTTCATTCCACTTACCTACCCATGCAAGGCAGACAGTCACCTGGCTACAGTTCCTGGACACAGCTCAAAGCAAGCTGTTTTCCTTCCCCTGTCACCTTCCCCATGGGTACAACAGCCATGTAGGTTTTATTAATAACATTGGTCCCTTGAAGACGGAAGTACTGTGAGTCATGCCGTGGCCATGTCCTCTATTGTCTGACCTCAGGATGGGGCACCAGGTGCTCTAAGAATTGTAGCATGAGGCCGGGCAAGGTGGCTCACGCCTATAATCCCACCACCTTGGGAGGCCAAGGTGGATGGATCACCTGAGGTCAGGAGTTTGAGATCAGCCTGACCAACATGGTGAAACCCTGTCTCTACTAAAAATGCAAAAAAAATTAGTCAGGCGTAGTGGTAGGTGCCTTTAGTCCCAGCAACTCAGGAGGACGAGGCCGGAGAATCGCTTGAACCTGGGAGGCAGAGGTTGCAGTGAGCTGAGATAATGCCACTGCACACTCCAGCCTTGGCTACAGAGCAAGACTTCGACTCAGAAAAACAATTATAGCATGAGGCTGGGCATGATTGCTCACACCTGTAATCCCAGCATTTTAGGAGGCTGAGGCAGAAGGGTCAGCCCAGGAGTTTGAGACCAGCTTGGGCAACATAATGAAACCCTGATTCCACAAAAAATAAGAAAAACAAATTAGCCAGGCATGGTGGCACACACCTGTGGTCCCAGCTTCTCTGGGGCTGAGGCAGGAGGATCCCCTGAGCCCAGGAGGATGAAGCTACAGTAAGCCATGATCGAACCACTGTACTCCAGCCTGGGTGACAGAGCAAGACCCTGTCTCAAAAAAAGAAAAAAGAGGCCGGGCATGGTGGCTCACACCTGTAATCCAAGCACTTTGGATGCCAAGGCAGGTGGATCACCTGAGGTCGGGAGTTCAAGACCAGCCTGACCAACATGGTGAAACCCCGTCTTTAAAAAAAAAGAAAGAAAGAAAGAAAAAAGAATTATTATGTGAACAACTGTCTTAGTCAACTCTGGTCTTCAGCACTTTGCACAGGCTTGGACACAGAGAAGGTGATTGTGTTAAAAAAGATCTCGGCCGGGCACAGTGGCTCATGCCTGTAATCCTAGGACTTTGGGAGGCCGAGGTGGGTGGATCACCTGAGGTCAGGAGTTTAAGACCAGCCTGGCCATCATGGTGAAGCCCCATCTTTAAAAAAAAAAAAAAAAAAGAAGATCTCTAAGTCCAGTTACTTTGGCACTTAGGGAGAGAGGGAAGGACTGGCGTTCATTAGCTCCCAAAGGAACTTGTAAATGTGTGATCTATAAGTGTTTAACCCTTTCAGAAGTATTTACTTTTTTTTTTTTTTTGGACAGGTTGTCACTCTGTCACCCAGGCTGGGGTGCAGTGGCAAAATCATAGCTCACTGTAATCTTAAACTCTTAGGCTCAAATGATTCTCTTACCTCCACCTCCCCAGTAACTAGGACTACAAGCACTGCCACCATGCTGGCTAATTTTTTGATTGTTTTTTTTTGAGACAGAGTTTCGCGCTTGTTACCCAGGCTGGAGTGCAATGGCGTGATCTCGGCTCACCGCAACCTGTGCCTCCTGGGTTCAGGCAATTCTCCTGCCTCAGCCTCCTGAGTAGCTGGGATTATAGGCACGCGCCACCATGCCCAGCTAATTTTTTGTATTTTTAGTAGAGACGGGGTTTCACCACGTTGACCAGAATGGTCTCGATCTCTTGACCTCGTGATCCACCCGCCTCAGCCTCCCAAAGTGCTGGGATTACAGGCTTGAGCCACTGCGCCCGGCTGTTTGTTTTTATAGAGAATTGGGGTCTCATTGTGTTGCCCAAGCTAGGCTCCTAAAGTCCTGGATTACAGGTGTGAGCTACCATGCCATGACCTAGTATTTACGTTTTAAAAAGAGAAAGAGGGCCAGGCATGGTGCAAACACCTGTAATCCTAACATCTTGGAAGGCTAAACTGAGAGAAATGTTTCAGCCTGGGAGTTGGAGACCAGCCTGGGCAACGCAATGAGACCCCATCTCTACATTTAAAAAAAATTTTTAATTGTCTGGGCATGGTGGCATACACCTATGGTTCCAGCTACTTCAGGG